ACGTGATTTGCTCCTTAATGATTGGTTCCTGGTCATGAAATGCGAGATGTATGTCATACACGAAATGGCAATATATATTTTTTTTTTACTTTTTTTTTTATTATTAGATTTGTATTTTTATTTTACAAAGTTGACTGGTCACTGTAGAGTGAAGTTAAATGCCGAGTGCTGGATTTTAAAGTTCTTATATGTAAAAAAAATTCATTTAATAAGTTCCATAACTGAAATTTCTTTCAGCTCATGTAACAATTAATATTATTTATTTTATTTTATTTCTATGTTTAATTATTTTTTATTATTTTTTGTATGTAAGGGGTTTGTAGAGTGGGGGGTGGGGGTGACATAAATTCAAGACAATAGGAATTTAAAATCTATAAATAATCAATAAAATATGTCGGAGAAAATCTTTCCTTTTATTGTCACACGAGTGCTGGTCTTTGAGTAGTAAGTGTGCGATGACGGCATTGTTGTTAGTGCTTTCAGAAGAAAAATTTTTTAAAATACGAAAAAAAAAATGCTTGCAGGACAAAGGGTTCAACCGACTACCTTCAGTTTTTCAAGCACTAACAGCTACAAACAGTTACAGTCGGTGGTCCACTTTGCAATATCCTACTTGTAACACTTTCAATTGGCTGTTTCCTGTGTCATATTGGTAATACGATAATCGTAAGTGACCCTACTATGGTGTTTGATATAATTAAATACTGCATGCGCCAAAAAGATATATATTATATATATATTATATATATATATATATATATATATATATATATATATATATATATANTATATATATATATATATATGTGTATATATATATATATAAAGGAGCTGTACCGAAACTCCTGCATCACGAAATGCGTTTTTCGGTTTGTCAACGGCACGCTGTGAAGCGCAAATGTTGAAACATGTATTATCACATGTATACATCGTTATGACACGTGCACATCATTATGACATGCATACATCCTCATGTCATGGGTTCATAATTATGACACGGGTTCATGAACATGACATGGGCAGATCATTATGACCAGGGCACATCATCAATAAAACATGTATACATCAATTGAACGCGTACACTTCAGTATGACGTGTACATCAATTATGACATGTTAAAATCATCAGGACATGTTAACATCAGCAACAATAGGACATGTTTAAAGGAATACATTTTTATCCTCTACACTTTTGTCACACGAGTGAATTCATTCAACTTTGGTGCGCACATTGTTTCAACATGCCCACGTTTGTTCAATGCCGTAAACAAAGGATGATCTTCTAAGTATTAGTAGCGGACGACAGACCGTTCAACTGGTGTATCTCTTAAATAAGGGCTCCCCCCAGGCGTTTACATGTTCTGCAACTCCCTTACCAATGGTTTGCAACAAGTATCGCAAACCCTTGCAAATTGTTTGACTTAGCTTCGCAACCCCCTACACATTATTTGACTAGGCCTCGCAACCCCTACACATTTTTTGACTAATGGTCTCACAAAGCCCACAAATTGTTTGACTAACTTTTGCAACCCTACACATTATTTGGCTAAAAGTCTCACAACCCCCACAAATTGTTTGACTAAAAATCTCGTAAACCCTACAAATTGTTGGACTGAAAGTCTTGTAAGCCCTACAAATTGTTTGACTAAAAATCTCGTAAACCCTACAAATTGTTTGACTAAAAATCTCGTAAACCCTACAAATTGTTTGACTAAAAATCTCGTAAACCTTACAAATTGTTTGACTGTCTCACAAACCCTAGTCAAGTTAAAAACTGATCTTAAAATTGCAAACGAAATGGACTTAACCTTTTTATATCGAATTACAAAGAGAACTCTGGAACTTGGAAAAGAAACTTCTGATAAGTTTCGTTAAAGTAAAAAGTAACATCACTAGTATCGTAACACAAGCCTCAATGGCCCCTCTCTTCTTATAAACTTACATTCTCCCCTGCCCCTAAAAATCCCCCCTTTTTTTTCAACTCCGTGGGGTTGTGATGGGGGGGGGGAGGGGGTTGTGAAGCCCTGAAGTTGGAAAACGAGCTTTGAATTAATGCTGGAGTGAAACCGCGACAACGCCTGTAAGCGCGTCTGTATGTTTTGTCAACTTTAGAGTGCAATCCTTTATTTTAGATTACACCACTGGACTGTTCGTCTGCCTTTGTTTGCTGTCATGGATCATAGGAACGTGCAGGCCTATATATATATATATATATATATATATATATATACAGCCAAGCATAAATACCACGGAGTTAATCACTAAGACTTCATCGATAATGTAGCCCGGGAAATCCACATCCCTGACAACACCATAGACAAGGGTCCCAGCGGGCGGCTTCTGTTTCACCTCCGCAAGATGCACTAGAAAAAGCCAAAGTTTAATCCTGTGTCACCGTCACGTGATCCCGCTGGCCAATGAAAGGAATGGACTGATGAATAATTGATGAGCTTAGTTTTTTTTTTTTAAACCTGCTTTTTTTTTTTTTTTTTTTTTTTTTTAAAGAGACCTCACCCCCCCCCCCCCCATTTTTTTTTTTTTAAACCCTCTTTTTTTTTTTTTTTTTCTTTTTCCAAGCCCCCCCCCCCCCCCCCCCCCCTTCCCACAAACCTCTACCAGCCCAACCTACCCTATAGGGCCCTAGCCGAGAGAGGGGGGTGGGGGAGTGTGCGAAACACCTGGGAGGCTTTGCAGCCAGTACCCCCAGCTGCACAGACGACGCCATCGATGTTTTGCTGCTGCTCGCAGGTACACCTCCCCGGGGAGTGTTGTGTTACACTGAAGCGGCTCCACTCCTCCTAGCGCCCTCCTTCCCGGCATACACTGCCTCATTACAGGAAACCGGCCAGCATTTTAATGACAGACGGGGAGTCATTTAAAAAAAAAAAAATTAATAATCATTTGTTCAGATGATTAAAAGTTTTGTAAAAAATATATATATATTAATGAAATGATAATTATAGTTTGGCAAAAAAAAAAATAGTTCATTCGTTGTTAATTTAATATCCTCAGAACCGAACGGTTTCTCATTACAATCCACCATCTTGTACTTTAAAAGGAAAATTTTTCAGGGGCCGCATTGCGATTATCTATTCTGTAGATATTATTCTGTCTTCTAGTTCTATAGTTTGCAAATATGTTATCGTCTGCCACTGTCCTGTCGTCTGCTCCAGTAAATTTAGACTATGTCTTGATGTATTATATACCATTTCAACTATAATCTCTTCTTTAGCCTCATACCATGAGAAAAAAAAAAACAACGAAATAGTTTCCACCCCCCCCCAAACCCACTCCCAAACCCCCTCACCAGGTCCCTCCACCCCTGGGTGCTACCATCATGCGACATGAGTGCTAATCAGTGGCCTTCAACAGCTGGTAATTAGTGGCCATCAGATGGTCGTGGGCAAATGGGAAAATACTTCCTCTTCAAGAGAGAATCAATTAAAATTATTTGCTTCATAACCACGAGCACAATCTGAACAAAAGAGATACGATCAATGGATGAGATAAGGGTGAGAATAAAGAACTCAAGTGAAGCATAATCTCGGCATAAAATACAATTTGAGGGGAAGATTTCATGCATTTTATGGGATTAACATAGCTGTTAAAGCAAGATAATTATTGAATGCCTGGGTGCCAATTTTTTTAGAATCAATGTCTTGAGTGCTAAAAAAAAATGTTATAGTGAATGTACGAGTGCTAATTGTTTTTTCCATAGCAAATGCAAATTATCGAATATTTTAAAATCCGACATGACATATCTGGTTGTTAATTTTTTAGACTGAAGATCTGGTTGCTATTCTTTGCAGCCAATTTCTGAGTGCTAAATCTTTAGACCATTCTGATGGGCTATTTACATATTATATGGCTTAGAATTAATGTCTAAAAGTTTTCCGTATCACAGTTATCTACCATGAAATATTTATTGATAACATTCTTTGCAACATATAGACGATCGCACACAAAATATATCTTATTTAAATATACATGGTCTCAAAGTCACCATTCCTTGAAACCATTGGGTAACAAAATCGTGTCTGGAAATGATTCATTATTTTTATCATAACAACAGTTTCAGTGGTAGACTGGCAACACACACATACCCTCACAGCGGTGTGGGGGGGGGGGCGCTGATGAGCAGGCCAACACCGGGGTTATGGGGGCGTCCATTCCTTGTCTCCCCCTCCTAGGACGTTAGGAAGAGCCAGGAGCCACTAGGCATTGAACATCTTCTTGACGGTGTAGCCGGGCATCGAGTAGAAGAAGAGAACGAGGAGAGCCGTGAGCAGGGCCACGATGAGCAGCTTGATGATGATCCACTTGTAGTTGTGCCACAAGATGTACCGCAGGGACTTGAACGGGTTCATGAACCACATGAACGACGAATCTGGTCGGCTGACAAAAGGAATGTTAACATATATATTAGATCAGCCGTAAACGTGATGTCAACCGTAATTCATATAAAAATGTCAACAAACTTGATTTTTTTTTTATCCACAATTAATCTAATCTTAATCTTGCAGACAACGGCAGACAATATAATTGCAGCCTGCTGTTCCTTTTTTCTACATTTTTAAACAATTTAAAACTAAACAAATTTATATTTGCCTATGTGGCCGTTTATGCCAACAAATGTTTTTAACTGTATGAATATTCAAGTACTCGGATATTCAAGTACTCGGATATTCAAGTACTCGGATATTCAAGTACTCGGATATTCAAGTACTCGGATATTCAAGGACTCGTAACGTTTTCAGGTTGAATTTAATTTACTTACTGTTGAACCTGTCTACAACCTACAATAAAAAGCTAAACTTAGTCTGGTTTTCTCTCTTTTTTAATTTTATTGTTATGTTTGGTGATGACAAAATTTTTTTATTCCTTGTCTTTTTTTTTTTTTTGGTAATATTTATTACCTGTCATATAATACTCTTAAATAAACTAAAATCATAAAATAGTAACAATGATCACGTGACGTAACTGACTTGGGTTTCTCCAGTGGGTCGGGCTCGGATCTGCCGAGTCCAGCCGGGTGCTTCTCAGCTTCTTCTGTGGTCATCAGGTGCAGTTCAGCCTCCACCTTGCCCTGCACGTAAATATGTTTTTTTTGTTGTCTAACTTTTGATCTAGACCGGACTCAAATATGTAATGAAACGTCACAGGAAATGGGTCGGTGGTGACTTGAAAGATTAGCACCCACATACACCCACCCACAACACACACCCACAACCACCACACCCACCCACCACACACACCCACCACGCACACCCACACCCACCCACACAGCCACACCCACACTTACACTCACCACGCAAACCCACCCCCCCCCACCACACACACCCACCCACACCCACCCCCCCCAAACCCACCACCCCCCCAACCTACAGCCCCACCCCGCCACACACACCTACACCCACCACACACACCTACACCCACCACACACACCCACACACACCTATACCCACCACACATACACACCCACACACCCACCACACACACCCACACACCCACCACACACACCCATTCCCACCACACACACACACACATCCACCACACATACCCACCACAACCACCACACCCACCCACTCAAACCCATCCAAACGCAACCACACACACACAAATTATGAAGCTGAGAGACAATTCAACAATGTAGTGCTGGTTGTGGCAAGTGTCCAGACAGGGACACGCTGGACAGCTGCCAGGTGGAGAGCCCACACGAAATTGCTTTTAAATCACCCACAAGACTGATATTATAAGAGTTTTCATTCTCGTAGCGGTTCACAAAATATGTTTTCCTATTTTTACATGTCCGTGGCTTTGAAAAATATGAGAAACACTGCGGTATTAGGGACCATGCCCCGTAGATCACTGACTACATATGTTTTTTTTTTTTTTTTAAATATAGAATTCCAGATCATCGATCGATTCCCTGGTACCTCGTCAACTCCCAGAAAAACCTGGCAGCGCTCTGGAGACGATTCCTGCTGTCAATTACCGACTTCTAACTGGAACAGGATGTTTCATTAATGGCTTGACCGCTGGCTACCGGCCGCCTTAATTAGTGGTCAGTCAGGAGAAAATCGGCCCCCGCCCCAAGACAAAGACCTCGACCAGGCCTCGGGCAAACAAGGGTATAATAGAATATTGACTGGACGGCTAGACTGAAGCGGACAAAAAATGGAATCAGCTTCCGGACAGCCGGACAGAGGCAAGTGGTCATTCTCGTGGGAGTATAGGACAGGAGGGAGGAAGGATGCCAACGTGAGAGAGGGAGAACGTCGGAGGGGATATGACCGACATGAAGATCATTTTAGATTTAATAAGCTTTCGGCCATGAACCAGAATCAGTCGGCTCATGATGTAGACTCCTACATCTTGTTGTGTCAGAGATCAACAATATTGTAGCCATGTTAAATGTCAGCGCTAATGTAGCCATAAGCTTTTGCGCAAACACACGTAGCCCAAGACGTATTTCAAGTACGCTATATACTTTTGACACACCAGCCCATCAGTCAAGTGAAAAATCTCCCTACTTCGTGGGCATGCCGATCCATCAGTCACGTGACAATCTACCTATAAACCCTAATTAGCACAGCAAACCATCAGTCAAGTGACAATCTACCTACGATAGGGCCACACCACTCCATCCGTCAAGTGACAATCTCCCTATCCTATGGGCACACCAATCCATCAGTCAAGTGAAAACCTCCATCCCACATTCTGAAACCATCCCGTCGCTTTCGCAAGCTTTGATCTATGACACAGGCGCTATCCTACTCCATCCGCGAATCCTACTCTTTCCTTCGTGCTACACCTAGGCGTGAACACCTCGTGCGTTCAGTCAACCAGAACAGATTAATGTTCTTGAAGAGCAAGATTCTTTGTATTAATTTAACCCACTTGTTCCAGGCCAAGAACCATGAGGTAATTTTAATCGCTCAGAGTTTGAAGCAAACAAGAAACATACATAAAACAATTCCTGGAACGTCCCAATCTAGCATTATTGAAAACATGTGAAAAAGCATATCCAATTTCACCAACACATATCAATTCATCCCAAAACTTTTTATCACCAAATTAACCGCCCACTCCACCCCCCCCCCCTAATCCCAAACCAAGCCAGCTCCGCGTAACTCGTTCTTGCTCTTAGCTTACCGTAAGCTCCAGATCTTCGCTCCCTTCGTTCTTCACGTGGAAGGGCCACCAGCCCTTGACCCTCTTGTGTTTAAACAGCGACATCTGGGGCACTGACCCGTCGGTTTTCAACATGTCCAAGGTACACAGCTTCGACGACTTGGCCCCGCGCGGGAAGCGGTTCAGATCTAAGGTCAGGGCGCCTGAGGAGATCAGAACAAGAAACTAAAGGAGTAAATGGAGGGGGGGGGGTGGGGGTGGAGCGCGGTGATATGAAGGGTGAATTTGCGATGATATAGGATAAAAGTCGAATTGCTTGATAAATTTAGTGAGGATACTAGGTGGACGTGTGGGTCAAAATCGCCCCAAATAGCGTGACGTCATAAATGGATGCGAGGGGCCCCCGCCCCGCACCCGGCACTTTGGCCCACCATTGTGTGACACTACAACGGTGTGAAGAAAAGGATATCGGCAGCGTAGCGAAGCTGGGGTCATTGACGCCCGGGGCGGTCCGAGTTTTTCGCCGCCCTCTTTCACGAAAACAAAAATCTGCCCTTTCCGCCCCTTCTACGTCACTGCTCGGCGGTATTGTTAATCAAAGTTGACTTGCCAGATGAGCGTTAGCTCATATTCCGTAATTAATCACCGGAGGACTGGCAGCAGGGTGGAATTATCCGTATGGCAAGGTGTGGAACGCGTTCCACTCAACCCCCCCCCCAGCCCCCCCACCCCACAAACATCCTGGAGTGTCCCCAGGCCCTGGCTTGCAGTAAGAGACTTTTGTAAATCATCATCTGTTTTCAATTACGGTGCTGTGATATTTAGCAATGAGCACCTTTCTTCGCTGTGCCCTGGGGACACCTAAGAGGCCTCACCCAGTGCTGGTCCTCGGGGGCGGTGTTAACGAGCTTTGGGACCGGACCAATGTATGAGTAATAATGGAAACGCTCTGCATCACGGGTCGGCAACCTTCTGGTAATATTGTGCCAAGAAATCGTTTCTACTTCAATCAGCATGCCAGCAACGTATTAGTCTACTTTGCAAGACGCCCCTCTTTCAGTCATGTCTTAATTTTATTTTTATTTGGCCTACCGCAAGACACGCGTGCCTTAATTGTGTGTCGACCACTGCTCTACATCACACTTGCTAAATTTCAAAGACAAGTGATCTTCATATGCCTCATTAATTTCTTTGACTGCGGGGAATCACATGGAAATAAGTACCAAAAAAAAAAAATTAAAAAAAATCTACTTTGAATTAAAGACTTTTAATAAAATTGTTCAAATTTGGCAACCATTTCATCAATTTACTGATTTATTTATTTATTTATTTAGGCATTTTTATATAGCGCTTATCATAAAGCTCTAAGCGCTTTACAGTTATTAAAACATGTAAACTAAGTAAATACAAATGAGACACTAGGATAGTAACTACTATTTTATAGAAACAATGAAAATGGCTATAAAACGAGGACACTTTGACACTTCAGGATTAAACCGAAACAGAAAATTAGGTAGGTCAAGGAGGGTGCATCACAGGTCATAGGCGGACCTAAACAGATGAGTTTTAAGGGACTTTTTGAAAATGGACGAGGTTTCACTATGACGTATATGGAAGGGGAGCTGGTTCCAGAACGTGGGCCCATGGAAGCAGAAGGAGCGTTCACCGATGGTCTTAGTTTTAGTTCTTGGGATTGAGAGGGATTGATTATAATTATTTTTTAACACAATAAAAAAAATTTTTTTTTTAAAATGGAAAAGAAAACCTTACCCAGAAAGTCGTCTGCTGAGAAGTGGTCAGCATCCCAGACCTGCATGTTCAGACGGGCGGGTATCTTAGACTCAGTCTCGTCCCACGAGAAGAGCGTTTCCTTCCGCGAGATGACGATCTTCTCCTCGGCCACCAGGTAATCAAAGGGAAAGATAAATCTCCAGTTGAAGTTGCCTTCCCCTGTCAGAGATCTGAGACGATGAGCCAAAGAATGTGTTAGTCTCCAGTAGGTACCGGTGGAATTTCTTATTTTCTGATATGACACCTTTCGGTGGTGTTTTTTTTTGACAGAGTCATTGTAAGCAGACGTGCTATCAGTGCACACGCGTCAGCAGTTCAATTGCCGTGACATGAACATGTACAGAGATGAAATGGGTTTCATAATTTAGATATATATATATATATTTCAAACGAATTCTTTTTGTTTATTTATGATTTCGTCCAATTAAGTTTTTGAGTTTGTTGCGAATAATGTTGAACACGATATGTTGAACACCCAAATGAACAGGTAAGAATACATTTTATGACCAGCGAAGGAATACAGAAGAATGTTGAACAAGACATGTTGAACACGATATGTTGAACAAGACATGTTGAACACGATATGTTGAACAAGATATGTTGAACACGATATGTTGAACAAGACATGTTGAACACGATATGTTGAACAAGATATGTTGAACATGATATGTTGAACAAGATATGTTGAACACGATATGTTGAACAAGACATGTTGAACACGATATGTTGAACAAGATATGTTGAACACGATATGTTGAACAAGACATGTTGAACACGATATGTTGAACAAGATATGTTGAACATGATATGTTGAACAAGATATGTTGAACACGATATGTTGAACAAGACATGTTGAACACGATATGTTGAACAAGATATGTTGAACATGATATGTTGAACAAGATATGTTGAACACGATATGTTGAACACGATATGTTGAACACGATATGTTGAACATGATATGTTGAACATGATATGTTGAACAAGCTATGTTGAACATGATATGTTGAACATGATATTTAAACACGATATGTTGAACAAGACATGTTGAACACGATATGTTGAACACGATATGTTGAACACGATATGTTGAACACGATATGTTGAACACGATATGTTGAACACGATATGTTGAACACGATATGTTGAACACGATATTTTGAACAAGATATGTTGAACAAGATATGTTGAACACGATATGTTGAACACGATATGTTGAACACGATATGTTGAACACGATATGTTGAACGAGATATGTTGAACAAGATATGTTGAACACGATATGTTGAACAAGATATGTTGAACAAGATATGTTGAACAAGATATGTTGAACACGATATGTTGAACACGATATGTTGAACACGATATGTTGAACATGATATGTTGAACATGATATGTTGAACAAGCTATGTTGAACATGATATGTTGAACATGATATGTTGAACAAGCTATGTTGAACAAGCTATGTTGAACATGATATGTTGAACA